AGAACATCACATTAAACAAAAAAAAATATTATTACTGTAAGTAGTAGAAAGATGTTTCTTACTTACCTAGATGAAAATTTATTTACATTTTTAAAAATATGAAAGAAAAAATATGGATAATTCGGTCGGTTTGATTTATTTAATTCTTAAATTCTCGACCGAATTGAATCAATCAACTAAATTTTTCATTAAAAAAAACTGAATTGAATTAAAATATTAAATAGATTGAATCAAATAGATAAAATTTAATTCAATTCATTTTAATTTTCAATTTTAATTCATTTTTGCTCACTCCTTCAAATGATGGGAAGGAAGAGGAGAGAGTCCTTTTTCGATCCTCATTTGAGTTCGTAAGTTTCGGCGAGAAGTTATACAGTAACCTTCCACGTATGCTCGAATCATGCCTCTTGTATTTCGGTGATGCAAAAACCTCATTAACGTGATTGGCGATAGTATATATTAATGGGGTTTGATCACTTAAAATGGCAACAAAAATTATAAAAGCTTGAGAATTAAAGGCTACTATGTTTTGGATGAATTGAAGTGAGGGTTTAGTTGAGACATTGGATTCTGATCATGAAAACTTAAAAATACAAGGAATCAATTTTATATCTTGACTTAGAATTTAAGAATTTGAAATTATGAATTCGTTGACTTTTTTTATTAAGTTTGATTTTATTTGACATAAAAGTTTCTATATCAATTTAAAATCCACTCGTATTTAGTTTTATTACACAAAACATCAAGTTGATTTACCCATTTAAGTAATGATTGAGTTTGATAGGTTGCCTATTTAAGTCATATATATATATATATATATGAATTTGAGTTTGAGAAATGATATTTTTTTAATTGAAATCAAACTTTGAAGCCTAATCCTAAAAAAATCGGGTTGGATTTAGGCGGTTTGTTTTTGTTTTACCCTTGAAAGATAAAAAATTTTAATTTTTAAATTGAATTTATATTTCAAAATATATATTTATACTTTAAAATTAGAATTTTTATTATTTATTTTAAATTTTTGAACATTATAACTAGTATTTTTTAAAATAAAATACTATAATTGAAATTTTAATTTTTAAATATTAAAAAATAAAAATTAAATAAGGAATGAGATTTAAAAAATAATTATTTTTGTGACAATCAAACTTATGAGCTTGAGTCTATATCAACTTATCTACTTCCTAACACTAGGCACCACATGTCATCCCCATGAGAGGATCACAGGAAAAATTCATCAATGCTCTAATTTATATTTGGGAAGAATGGTAGTGAGAGCTCCCAAAAAAAAAAAAGCAGTGAAAATCTTGAATAATTGAAAGTTTATTTATATACGCGTCAATTGATGAGCTTTTAGTCATCCATAAATGAATTTTGAGTTATCTAGGACTTTCATTTTTCTTCCATCTAGTGAAAGCTTTCACTGCCATTCTCTCTTATATTTGTAGTCCATATACAGAAGAACATTGAGTCACGTTGAATGGAATTGGTTCATATTAGTATATTACATTCATCAGTGTGCATGATATTTGACTCGGCGAATCAAAAACATGAATGACGTAAAAGTCACGCAAGGACGTGTAATTAAAATAAATAACATGTTGCATCAATCTGTGTCGGGTACTATTACTAACTAAGAAAAATTACATACTCTCTCTGTCTCTCTCTCTCTGAATATAAAATATTTTTAATTAAATTTTATCTCAGAATAAAATAATTATTTATTTTTAAATTAACTCTATCTTTTCATATTTTCTCGATTAAACACCCTATAATAAATATAAAGTTAATATCAATGGAGACAGTTTTTTAAAAAAGATAATGATTACACTTTAAAAGAATAAAAATATTTTATATTTTTTAACATTTAACTCCTTAAAAAATGCCTTACATTTTTGAATGGAGGGAGTAGGTCTCATGGAGAGATTTATTTATATATAAATCCCACAAAAAAATTCATAAATCACAAATAAAACCCTTAAAACTTAAGTATAATTTGAGATTAAGATGAAAAGATAACAATTCCTCTATTAAATATATATATATACATTATATCAGTCAAGTAATTGTCAACTACTTCATTAGTAATTTATAATTTTAATTTTAATTTTTTACAACTATATCTTTACATATTCAATAGTTAAATCGATCAATTTAACTATTAAATATATAAAGTTACAGTTGAAAAAGTTAAAGCTATAATTATAAGTTAATAATGAACTAATTGTAAACAATAAATGTTAAACTTTGTTAGTACTATATAATTATCTAATTATTTAATATGTAAAGTTACAATTGTAAAAAAATTAAAATTAAAATTTTAAAATACTAATGAAATACTTATAAATTAATTATTTAATTGATGTAATGTATGTTTAATATGGGTATTATTATATTTACAGTTTAATTTCAAATTATATTTATTAATTAGATCCTAAAGGACGTGGTTAGGATTTTCAAGTTTTATAAGATTTATATATAAATAAATTTTTTTTATGAGACTTATGTGTAATTTTTTTTATTAATTATATGCTATACATGCATGAAGCGCGATTCCCAGCTTGCCGCAATAAACCCCGAACTTGACTTCACAAGCGAGTAACTAAGGGGCCAAAATGGGAGCCTGATGTGTTGGCCAAAAAAAAAAAAAAAAAAAAGAGCCTGATTTGCTGACGCGTGGCCAGCAAGGGAATCTGACACAAATGATAAAACGATGATTAGGGAAAGCCTTAAAAGGAAATACATGTGTAAAGATGGGATCTGTCTTTGACCCACTGTCGTCAAATTTATTTTTATTTGAGCTCTTAGTTTTTAAAATATTAGAAACCACATGATATGTCTTTCACAAAGCGACTTTAAGAACATGAGAATGCGTGAAATTTTAAATCTGAAAAAATAATTTTTTTTGTTGGATGGTGTTACAAAACAAATATTGGTGGGCAGGCAGCCTCGTTGTCTTTGTAAGACTAGAAAAAGGCTGTCGAAAGGCGATTATTCAATTAAGAAAATTGGCGAAGGCCCATTGGAAGGCCATCAGCTCGAAGACTCAAAAGCACATGTCATGACAAGTCTATGGAGTATGGAAGGAAACAAAGGAAAGTAGAGATTTTTAATAATGTCAAATTTTAAAAAATAAAAAAATAGGGTTGAAAGTTTTTAATTAATTTTTAGAATGTTTCTATATTAAAATTTTATAACTTTCCTTATTCATTTTTTTTAAACAAAATTTATCAAAATTTTCTCTCCCTCTCTTCTTCATTTTAATTCCTTCTATCTCCTCCTGACAGTCTAGCCAAGCAAGGAAAGAGGGTATAAATGTTTGTTTTGATTTTATTTATAAATTATTTTTAATATATTTTATTAGAATTAACAAAAGCCTCATACATTTTATTTTAAAATTTAATAAGTTTTCATTCTTAACCGCAATGGGGACAATTTTTTTTTAATAATTTAATTTTTTAAGGTATAAATGTAAAGATTAACATAAAAAATAATGAAGTATCCTATGAACAATATCAAAACAAATCTTCTCTCTCTACTTTGTAAATAAGATCATGGGAGTATGTTTAAGGCCCTAGATACATTCAATGCATCACATCTTCTATGCCTTATTCAATAAAAACATGTTATGTCAAATGATTGTAAAAATAAATTGACTCTGTTATTGATGATGACAGAAAGAGAAAATATAAAAAGATTAATTAAAGAGACATTCTATTCTAAAATAAACTCATTAAAAGTAAGGACATGTAAGATTTTATTTAATTAAATTAATGCAATTTTATTGGACAGAATATAGATAACATGGTGTTGGATGCATGTAAAATTTCTCAAGATAAACATACATGTCTGCGTTAAAAATTTATGGGTTCTGAAATAATAAATTTGAGTTAAAAATATTTCAAAATAATTTTTTAGCACCAAGTCGTTTAATACTGAATATTAATTGTAAGGGCGAGGAAAGATTCACAGGCGGTAAATTTTCCTGCTGCAGATAAAATCCTCGTGTGGTTCAATGGAATTACAACTTAAAAAAACAAAAGGGAAAGAAACAACAACAATGCACTCTCCTATGTTTGGTTTGCATCAATCAATCTTCGTGGGAAGGCAAATTCCATGTTTCTTCATTGCTCCTGGAAAATGCTCCCCACCACCCTCCCCTTATAGCAAAAACCCACCGTCATCCCTCAGCTAGTGGCCGCTTCATCGCCTCTCACTGTAGTACGGAAAATGTATGGAAAGACGTGAGTGTTAATTGTGGTCTGGATAATTGTTATGTATGAAAAAATGTGAAAAAAAATAAATAAGTCATTTTCTATGATATTTAAAAATTGTTAACACACGTGATGTCATGTTTATGGATGGGAAGAGAATGCATAGATACGCCCGATGCGCACGGCAATTAAAGCTGTCGGGGTGCGGGTGCTGATGCTGATGCCATATTCATATGTTTGAATCCAAAACTAACTTGACAAGATTATTATCATTTTTCAAATATAAATTCTTCTATTAAAGTCAGACACAGTATGCGCCATGCAGTGCACTCACACGCATCATGTCATCCTGAAACTAGTTTATCTCTCCGGTAGGAAGACTTCAGTGATTGGCGCTAATTAGTCAATATTAAATGCATAAACAATACCGTGTTTTATTTTACCAAAACTCCCTGCAAATATATCTAACTAGTAACTGTTACTCCAATCCATGCTAACTAGTCGGTGGCTTGTTTTAATTTTCAATATAAAATTCAATTCATTTTATTTCATTTTATTTATTTTTTTTTTACTACTATCTGCTCTAGAGCGTGAGCTCGACAACTAGGGGGCTTAGGGCCGCTACTCCGAAGACATTTTAGACACGGCGAAATTGATTTGGAATAAATTATTATTCTTCTATCACACTACAGTACACGTGCAAATTGTGCCCTTCAATCACCCTCACATGATTGCCTCTTGAGCAGGGAATTTCAATATAAATAAACCGCATTCCCATTCATCCTCACACTTGTCCAAGCCAATATCATCATTCATGGCAATGGCATCGCAGAACCCTCCATTTTCAGACCTTGAAGCACTCCAAGACCCGCAACCTTGTGGCTTCTCCGCCAACCTGACCCGCAAACTGAGAGCCAACTTGGCTTTCCGTTCTAAATTGGCTGAACTGAATGGAGCCATGGGAGACCTTGGCACGTACATACCCATAGTACTGGCTCTCACTCTAGCCAGAGATCTCAACCTCGGCACTACATTGATTTTCACAGGCTTCTACAACTTCATCACCGGTGCTATTTATGGCGTTCCCATGCCTGTCCAGCCCATGAAGTCCATCGCCGCCGAGTCCCTCTCCAACCCCAGTTTCGCCGTGCCGGAGATCATGGCCTCCGGAATCTTGACCGGCGGGGTCTTGCTGCTGCTTGGCATAACCGGGTTGATGCGGCTGGTGTACAAGTTCATTCCTTTATGCGTTGTCAGGGGGATTCAGCTTGCGCAAGGCCTGTCCTTTGCTTTGACTGCTGTTAAATACGTCAGAAAGATTCAAGACTTGCCAAAGTCAAAGTCGTCAGGGAACCGAGGATGGCTTGGTTTGGACGGTCTGGTTTTGGCTCTTGTATGCGTTTGCTTTATTGTCATAGTGAACGGAGCTGGTGAACACCATCATGGCAGGGAAAGCACCACTTTGAATGACCAACAACACAAGGTGGAAGAAGAAGCAGCAGCAAGAATAAAGAGAAGAAGCAGAGTCAGAAACATAGTCTTCTCTCTTCCTTCAGCTTTCATAGTGTTTGTACTGGGCGTCATTCTGGCCTTCATCAGAAATCCCAAAATTGTGCATGACATCAACTTCGGACCATCCTCTTTTCAAGTGGTGAAAATTTCTGAACACTCATGGAAACAAGGCTTCATAAAGGGCACTATCCCTCAACTCCCATTATCAATTCTGAACTCAGTGATAGCAGTGTGCAAGCTATCATCAGATCTATTCCCAGAAAAGGAAGTTTCAGTGACATCAGTGTCTGTGACAGTGGGATTGATGAACTTAGTAGGGGGGTGGTTTGGGGCTATGCCAAGCTGTCATGGGGCAGGTGGGTTAGCAGGTCAATACAAGTTTGGTGGTAGGAGTGGAGGGTGTGTGGCTCTTCTGGGAGCAGCCAAATTAGTGCTAGGTTTGGTTCTGGGAAGCTCAATAACTCATATATTGAACCGATTTCCTGTGGGTATCTTGGGGGTGTTGCTTCTGTTTGCTGGGATAGAGCTAGCTATGGCAGCAAGGGATATGAACACCAAAGAGGATTCCTTTGTGATGCTCATTTGCACAGCAGTTTCACTGGTGGGTTCAAGTGCAGCACTCGGGTTCTTATGTGGAGTTACTGTTTTTCTTCTTCTCAAGCTAAGGAATTGGACAAAGGGTGACCCACTTTTAACCATTTGGATGCATGGAACCCCTTGATTACCTACTCAGACACAAAAACTTGTATTTATATATCTGGTGTTTTGGTATATATGATTAAATACTAGCCGGTTTGAGCTGTATACCAAAGATGTGGTATGTGAGAGATTGGGATAGTTTGTCGCCTGACGTCTGGAATTCAATGATTTAAGTCTCTAAGTAACCCAAAAAAGAAAAAAAAGTTAGAAATCTATTAAAATTTTAGACAGAGTTAATAAATTTTAATATTTTCTTCGGTTTTAATAAACATGTTAAAATTAACTTATAAATAAAATGGGGAAATAAACAATCAGATGGGAAATGGGTGGAAAATCTCCCGTGTTTTTTGGCAAAGAGGTCATTAAATGGTTTTGGTTGTGTTAATCAATTGCATCAGTATCCATTTGTGTGCATGATGTGGTGGGAGTGAGTGTGGATTCTTGTTGGCCAAGAGTAAAAGGGGGAAAGATTTTTTCTTTCAAGTCAGCGCACAACCACTAAGCCAAAAAGACGAGCTTGTTTCTCCACCATCAGCTAAAGAGAAGTCATCAATCAACCTGGAATGGAATATATATATATATATATCCCTTGAATTTTAAGATCAGATGCAAAACTGATAGTAATGGCCAAATCATGTGGCATGACGCCATTGCAATTCTTGGAATCCCCCAAAAACCAAGAATTTAAGCATTTTTAGCAGAGTTTTTCCCCCTCCTCTCAAATTCACTTTATCAACATTCTTCAGCTTTCACCCAATTCTCTGGCCTTGTAATGTAATCCCCGCTATCGCAGTGAAGAATAAGAATAAAGGTTGAAAGCCATCGAATTATTTGCCAAATCAATGATTCATCAACCACTTGTTCCTTCAAGCCAATATCACACCTGTATCATAATATCTACATTCATTATATTGAGTTTTGATGAATCTTTGTTGAATGCGAGTAAAATTATCTATCATATACTGAGGTTGATGCAAGTGACAGAAACTTCTGCTCTTAATCGAGAGGCATTTACATTTTTTTCCTCTATTTCTTGAGAAAGTCTCAATAAAATACAACCAAAATAATTTTACCAACATCATTTCCATCACCAAATATTTTGAAGTTTTATTTTCTACATTATTTTTTTGGTAGACATTTCGACGTCATGCATTTGAAAATTGTAATTTTTTAAGATGAAAGCGACAAGCCGAGTGCTTCAAAGTTCAAACATATGTAAATACATACATACTTACATACATATATAGATATATAAGATATAGTTTAACCAAGATAAAAAATATTAATTGAATCAGACAAAAAGGGGAAAAATGATGCCACAGACAAAAGTATGGGTACATCATCGATATATTTTATAAGGCCCGCGTATTGGAGTAAGAATAGCTCTTTTACTCGGAACCAGAATTAGTTCGGGCCTAAGCACTATAGGTGTTATTATTCTCCTCACTTTCATTGACGCCAAGGGACAGGATGCTAGAAAGAAAAAGGATAAAAACCTTGAAGCACTTGCTAACAAGACACAAACAGATATGGCGAGCATAAAATATAATAAATCACCGACAATAACATTACCCATTTGCCTTTACCTTTTTCGAGGGATACACTGCCTTGAGGCTCCACTCTGGAGCTGCAAACCTATTTGTCATGTCCCAATTTGGAGCTTGACTCATAATTGCAATTCACAAATCGGCCCCCACTTCATTGCATGCTCCTCGCAGGCATATAGTCGCTGGAATAGTGAAGGTTCAATCTGAAATAGTGCTGCTACTAAAAAGATTCTTCTATGTTAATCGATTTTTTTTTTTTTTGCCATGATTTATTATGCAAGGAATAGTTTATTACATGACGAGAGGCAAGGATAACGTCTTCGCAGTGAAATTATTTGCGAATACTCTTCCCCAAGATGATATTTCCATATCTAAATCGGCGTTATATTTCCTGAAGACAGAAACACAAAACTGATATTAGTGTACAGACGCAGTTAATCACGTAGCTGTCGAGAAAATCAGCTCTTCAGTGGACCCGTAGGTTTCTGTAGGAGCACAGGAGAAAATATTGATGGTCCCCAACATCATAATGCACACAAATTTCACATACCCTTCCCACGTTCAAAATCAAGATGTTAGCGAGGGAGTTAAGAGCTGAAGATGTACATGACCACTCTGCCGTAAAAAAGCAATTTCAGAACCAAATTCTAAGGCAAAGATTAAATATAGACCAGAAAGGCTATATCATGTTTACTTATAATACAAGATGATCGGATATTTACTATATGCTATATGACATAACCAATTCACTGCAGGACCAACACATTCTCAAGGCTTCCCTTCTCTCGGTCCATGTCGAACGATGCGATCGTCAAGTGAGCAACCACATTCACTGGGTCATGTATCACAGAAAACAGCAGAGATCCTTGCAAATCATGTGCCGGACTAATATTACCTAATCTCTGAAAAAAGGGCCGTATTTCCATTCAAAGTGTTTTCTTATTGGGCCCGTTTCTCTTCTCGTATCGCACGTTTGAACCTGAGGTTAATGAGAAAAAGCAGGAAGACGGGCAAAAGCCAAAAAAAGAAAAAATCTGTACAAATATTGACAGCCAAAATTCCATAGACCCATTAGCGGTGGTGAAACAGTCCTGAACTGCAGATCTTGACCTGGAGAAAGATCTGGCGGTCAGAGCTTGCTGAGTACGCTTTGAAGCAACAAAATCTCAGTCTCATTGCCCTCAGACCTCATGACTGAAGTTCACTACGTCTGGACATTAACAAAAGCGCACCACCATTGACAAAGTAAAAACCAGTCCCAAGTCTAGCCAAAAAAGAAGATAGAAGATAAAAAGTGGAATCTACTTACTCGCCTCTATGCAGCTCTGTTGTAAATTAAAGGAATCTATGACGTTGCCACAGTGTCAGATGTTTGTTGAGTCATCTACCTTCACCATTTGAGTCCTCAGAAGCTTTCATTGCTTCAGCAGTCATAAGAGCAGTCACAGCCTTGTGAATTGCTAGATCTGCTCTGTAGAGCAATCTTTGAGCCCTCTGTCTCTTTAACTTAGCCACGTTAAGTGCATGTTGAGCAGCACCTGAAGCGTCACGCAACTTATATTCATCATGGTCTGAAGCATCCAATTGTTCGATCCCATGCCTGTAAGAGCTATCTAATTTGTACTGCCTGTGGCCTGACCAGTCATAACTAAAATTCCGATTACCAACCCCACTTCTATTTCCGGACATTCTGTGACTGTGACTGTGACTCTGACTGTGACAGGCCATCATCTGTGAATCATCATGATATATAAATGACCCAGATTTTTTTGACTTGCTCCTGTTAAGTTTGGGTACTCTATTTCTATCATACCCATCATTGCTCAATGAAAAATATCCCATGCTGTCAGCATCCCGTGATGAGAAAACCCTTGGTGAGGTAAGTGAAATCGGGGAATCATCCAAAGAGTCAAAATTGTGGCCTAGGTATGCGAGCTTTTCATCACTAAACACAAAGCCATTCATTCTTCTTCCTGAGAGAACAACATTCAGGTATAAGGAAAAGGTTTGTTATATGTTAATGATATTATAGTATTGGAATCAGCATGGGGAAAAAAAAACTCACCAAAATTGTGTAAACCATCCTGTTCACCTAGTATGCTGTTTGTATGCCCAGAAACTGAAAATTTTTTTTGTGATCGATGTTTTGATCCTTTATTTGGTACTTCCAAACCCCTTGGTTTTAAACAGAAAGCAAACATCGGTGGCTTCTCCAAAGCTGCAACCTTATCTAGGCATCCATAAGAAGTGGGAATACTATTCTTGTTTATGGCTACTTCCCACTCTCTTACTTCTTGTTGATATCTTTCCCACAGAGGAGGCTGAGCAAAGCATAAAATGTAGAGATTATATCTCAGCAAAGTAATAATCAGATAACGATCATGCAAACAAGAAATATAACAATATAGGTCTGTGGGAGTTGATAGAAGTCGGGATGTAATTTGGGTGATAAAATAGATAATTAAACAAGGCCATCACACTTCAATGTTTTAACTAATGAATAAAATAAAAAACTTAACCAACCAAAGGAATTCAAATATATAAATAATTTTTACTAGTATAAACAAGGAGCACAACCCCTCTGAGCATTCAAAAAAGGTGACGTGTAGAAGCATACCCCAAACATCAATCCTCTGTAACGCAATCATATTGCAGCAGCTCATGCAAGCATTTAATCAATGGAATAAAAAATATCTTTCAAATGATCGACAACCCACAAAAACAACCAGATTTGAGGATGTTACCACCCACAACCACATAATGCCAGGTACACGAGCATTTACAATATAATTTCACACAATCACAAGCATCTTATTTCCTTGACTTTTTTTCTATTAATTAATTCTAGGCTAGGGCAAAAGGAGTAGCTGTCAAATTCTTTAAAAGTCTGATCTTCTGGAGATTTTGGTGTTTACAAATGGAATACCATACCAGAATTTTTAATCAGGAGTTTTCCATCCACCTGTATCTTTGGTGAGACAGTTGTTTTCTTGATTTCCTCTACATCAGCAGATAGCTTTAGGGGATGCTCTTACTAAATTGAGAGCCACTACCGAGCCTAAACTTCTTAACTTCACTTTTTTTGCACCTTCCATCACTTTATAAAGTGTACAAGTTAATTCATAAGTTTCAACCTCCTTTCGCACTCCCCACATGAAACAATTCTCCTTATTTACCTCTCTTGGGGTAATCTATTATTTTATATTCAGTCACTAAACGGTACCAAAAAAAGACAAAGTCCTGAAAAGTAATAAATAAACGCATGGATAAGATTGATAATTTGGAAAGTACCTGAAAATGCCGTACTAAAGTCATTCCCTTGTGCTGCCTTCTCTGCTGCCAATGCTCATAGATGGTTTTGACTAAAAACAAGGGCCCAACATCGCCCATGATTTCCTCTATTTCATTGGGTGTAAACTGGTCACGTTGTCGAGAGTATGCAGCCTTCTCAAACATGTCCATTATCTTCTCAAACATATCTGAAATTCCCTCCAAGCTACTGTTGCCCTTTTCAGAATTCTGAATGTTTGAAATCCACTGCTCATCCTCACTGTCCATGTCATACAAGACCCGAGAAGGATTTAAAGCCATATCAACATCTGTTTCAACTTGTTGAAAATAGTTTGAGCCACGAACGAATGCAACTTCAGGCCCATTGTCATTTTCCTCGATCAAACGAACACCAGGAATAGGTATATTTTTAACTGAAGCAGCACGGAGATTCCGATTGTAGCATTCTTCATGCATCTCCTTGAAAAGGGCCCACTGGCTCCTATCAGTAAATTCCAAGGTCCAATTCTTCCCTCCTTTCCACATCATAGCATGAGTGTAACGATTTGTTGATCCTGGCTGCAGAAACTGATGTGCTTTATACGAATACCTAGTAATCCCTGAAAATTTTACAGAAAGTTTCCACTCATTATGATCAAACAGCTCAAGTACAACTTGGGCTCCAGATTCTCTCCACCCTCTATCACCAACCGTAATCAAAACATTTGCATCACAAGATAAAGAGTCCAAATCCTTTTCAGGTCCTCTAGCTACATCTGATGACTTCTTTTCATTAGCCTTTCTAATTCTCTTGTGAGGAAACCCCTTCGGATTAGTGTTTCTGTGCTTTGAACTGAAATCATACCCAGCAAAAGGCAGTGAGTATGACACTTGTGTTCGTGGCTTCTTGGGTCCATTACTGAAACCATTGTGTAAAGAGTCAGCATTTCCACCAGACCACCCCTGTGATGGCAAGCCAGATGATGAGGAACAATTTCTGTTTCGATGCCAAGAACTTCTGGCAGCAGTTGATTTGGGGCTTGGAGTGGCACATTCATTTACATTCCAACACAAATCAGGAGAATCATGAGCACTGTGCAAATCACCATTCACAGGTTTCCTGATTTGATCAAGTGAAGGAATTTGAACATTAAGGTGTCCCAGAAAAGAATGGGGAACCTCATCAGCCTTATCTTTGTCAATTGACGAGCTCAAAGGTAAAGAAATTAGTTCTAACCCAGAATTATGGGATTGCCACTCCTGTAACTGAGTAGAACTAAGCATCTCAGAATCAGGGGTACCAGAAATGCTGCCAGCACTAAGACCAATGTTCTGGCAATTACGAGAGGCACAAGCAACACCATTTGACAAAGTCATCATATCTTTCTTTAAACTAATTTCTGCATTGCAGTGAGAGACATCATCGATGCTAGAGTAGCCATTTTCCTGATCATCTACTGATGAATGATCACAGAAGCTTAAATGATTTACCGACCGCTCCATCAGCAACTTGAGATGCAAACTAAGAAAAAAAGTAGGTGCAGCAGCAAAAGAAAGAGCAAATAGTGGATGCTTCCTCTTGCCATAAACAGAAGACCGGCCAGCATCAACGGGAGTGAAGTCTGTGGAAATTCCCATAATCCCCATCCTTGTCCTCTTGGGCACGACCTGTTCAAGTAAATGTTACACAATTCCACTTAATATAATCCCAACATAAATCAACTTGACATGAATTTTAAACCTTAGAAGTTTTGACAGGATAATATGTTTAACTGTAACAATTCATGTTAAACATTGAGGGCAAAGAATAAATTGATAAATTCAATATCAAATATTTAGAGAAAAGAGAGATATGTAATTAGAAATCAGAAATATTAAGGAAGTACCTTGAATGAGGAGGGCTTGCCCTTGATGGTAGTAATAGGCAACTTGCTTAACCCATTTTGAAGTGCCTGGATGTTATCATATGTGCATTCAGAGATATGGAGGCGTTTACTGAGCAGGCAATACCTCTGAAGTTTAGAATCCAAATACATCCACTCTGAACTCTGTAATCTAGAGAAGTTGTAGAATGCAAACACAACCTGCCTCTTGACATTGTCCACACCTGAAAACCTGAATCTAATAGATGTAACAGGTAGTTGCATGTCAACATACTTCCCTTGCTCAGCAGATTCAAGAAATACCCTAAGGATCATAAAGACAAAGGCTGCAGCCATCTTCAAGCAGCCTTCAAACAATAGAAACCGCAAACCGACCACATTATCAACAAAAAGCATTTCCAAATGAACTCTTGGCCACTTCATCATAACTACACCATACTGAAGAAGCGATACAGCATGAAGCAACCACAAGCTCTCCAATTCATAATTCAGCACCGATCTTATTGGAAGGTTTGTGTCAAGTTTAAATGCTGTTGACTCCAAGTCCAAAAATCCTATTTCTGATACACCACCCGCATTGTAAGTGAAGCATAAAGGCCCATTGGTGTCAAACATTTTATTGTCAGGTTCTTTTACATCACTTAGCCTGCCAACCAAAGAATCAAAGAAAACAGAACCAGGGGAAGGTATGATAACAGGTTCTCCTTCAGACACATGAGGTGACATTGGAGTTAACCTGCGAAACCGCCTTCTAAAGTAAACAATAGGCATTTTACCATCTTTAGAACAAGTAGCATTTTCTGATGAGGGCTTCTCTGTAAAATTATCACCTAATTTATCCAACAATACAGAATCACTGGATGCATTGCTCTTACCTCCCCACAAGGAACTCTTAGGTACTCCCTCCACTCTAGCAGGCTCTTCATACAATAATGAAGAGGCTGATTTCAAAGGTGTAACAGAAATTCTCTGTTTTTTGACACCAGTAAAAGAAGATTTAACCCGATTAGAAGATCGAGCCAGCCAAGAAATTATAGGCTCTGAGTCCATGAAGCTTTCACCGCAATTATCATCCTCTGTAATCAATTTTCTTTGTCTTTCTTTTTGGGACTTGCTTCCTTTTCGCTGAACAGAACTACTTTTCATTGCAGATCTTTTATGGCCTGCATTTCCTGGAACTTCACTGGGAAGTAACAAGAGTTTGAACCTCTCAGTTTGGAGATTAATCCATTCTTCATCTCGATCATCATATTTAATATGGTGAAGTTTCTTTGATTTGTCATAGTCATTGACAATGCCATAGTACCAACTCTGGTCTAACGGCCAAAACACCTTTATTCTCTGGTTCAAAACCCAATATGCATCCAGATCATCCAAGAAAATCTCATAAAAATGACGCCTCTTCCGGGCACTACCCTTTTCTTTGTGTTGTTTCCTTGGCCTCAAGACCCTGCCTGCAGCGTCAACTGACGTTGAGTCTGAACCTGGCAGAGACTTTGACCTGCATCTTACAACATTTCGACCAGAAGATAATAAGATGGATATACCATTTTCTGATGGCAACATAGAAGAATTGCCACTAGCAGAAAACCCAGTACATCTAGGATCAAACCTTGATGATAGCATCCTTGCTGCATTCTCCTCGAGATTCTCATCATCATCGTCCTTCAAATTACCAGATAGTCTACTACTTCTGGTCACAGTTCCAGCCTCCATGGGAACACTATCTGGAGCTAAAATCTTTCGCTTCCTGTCCATTTTCCTTGACATCTTTCCAGAGTCACGACCATTTACAACAGCATAACAGGAAGAGTCTTCATTTCCCTTGAAACGCTGAACTGAATTTGAATCACTACTCATGTTTTCTTTAAATTCATCAATATCCTGTTTAAACATTGAAGACTCAACACCATGGGCCAAATCATCCTTGATCAGTTCAGGCATTTGATCACCATGGCCACTTTTACTGCTAGTCTGCCCAGACAGATTTTGTCCTCGACCAGTTCCAAATTTCTTCCGCCTCACAAGACCCCTCTTTCGTTTGGGGATATGAACAACATTATCACCAAAATCAAGTGAAACTCTATAAAACCCATTACTGCTGCTTAGTCTCTGATTCAGACCCGATTGCAATTCACAAGAATCCTTCACATCAGAACTTGGCCCAACGCAACATTCCCCATCAACAACCTTTTTAGTGTTACCATCAGCATTTTCTAAGCTATTCAGAGACATTTCTTTTCTAATCTTCTTTTTCTGGTTCGTTTTCCGATCACCGTCCTCATGACTACTACCTTGCCTCTTCAAGTTTTTCTTAGGAGTCTTTTTTGGCACTTTTAGATTATATAAACTTTTAAGATCCAGTGATCTCGATTTTTTGGGAATTGCAATGCCATGGGAATTCTCTGTTCTATCTTCCATTAACAACTATCAGTATAGACGCCCAGGACGAAATTTTCCGAATTTCACATTCCATTATACATTCCTGTAAACGTTTTACAGATCTGTAACGCCAACTTGATGAAAAATCACAAATATTCCTCCAACCAACACAAACTAAGGCCATAGACAATGTCCAATGCACTGGGCAGATTTCATTGAACAGCACGAGAAATGTAAATCGCAAAATTATAATGCATTACATACCTCAACCGACACGCCACGAATACGAAGTAATCGTTTCTTCCAACGAATCATGAAGATCACTGTAATGAATCATGGGTTAGGGCTTGAATCTCACAACTGGGAATTGAAACCCTAAAAGAGCCCATTGAGTGTGAAATTAAATTTCCGATAATTCCGATTCCTCTGTTTTTTTTTAAAAAAAAAATATATATTTTTTTTTTTTACCGCGAGAGACGGACAAACAACTAGGGCTTCGGGAGTCGGTGTTCAGATCGAAAATAACAAAGCATGAACGGATTGAAATGGAAAATAGTTCGAAAGTCGAAACTATGAAGAATTTTTTAGATTCTATGCGTGGGAGGGTGCGGTCCGTTGGATTGAAAATGTTGGCATGGGTCACGTCTTTTCCGTCGAGGTACACAAGGAACGGCCCAGATGTAAACTTTCTCCTCCGAGCTGCGGAATAGATGTTAACGGCTAGGATTCGACGCTTTTAGATGAGGGGGTAATTCAAGTTGTCTGGAAGCTGTAAGCCTGCAACTGGCTTGGGCGAAAAGATTAGGCAATTTTAATAAATAAACACCCCCTCCGTTCAAATGTGAGATATTTTTTTAAAAATCAGATATTAAAAGATATAAATTATTTTTAATTTTTGAAGTGTAATTAATATTTTTTTAAATATTCTTATTAATGAATAATTTTATATTTATTATAGGGTGTTTAATATAGATACATATAAAAAAAATAGAGTTAGTTTGAAAGTAAGTAATTACTTTATTGAAATATGAGATTCGGTTAAAAGTGTCTTATATTTTTTAATGGAGTGAGTAGTTAATTGATTTAATTAATGGATATAGTGATGTATTATTATAAACCATAAAATTTAGAGTACGATATTTACAAATGATAAACAGTACCGCTTGTCGCACCCGGAAAAATGCGACACGGACGGCGAGCGAGCGGAGGTCCCGGCCTTCGCGGCGAGAACCGGATCGAATGAGAAGTCACCACCGAGATTTTGAGGTAAATCTCAGGAAACCGATTAATGGAGGATAAGGGTGGTCTGCGAAATTAGAGAATGGGTTCGGGAGTCGATTGAGTGTAGGAGAGGTGTTAGGCATCCCACAACACCCGTTCGTCAAAACGATTACCTGAAGTTTGTTATGTTCTATTAATATGGTTTTATAATTATTTTAATTATCCCTTTTAGATTCATGTGTTTCAAAAATGATAAGAATTAAGTGAGAGATGTTTATTTATTTACGAGGGATGACGGACTTGACTCAGAATCTGACTCTGAGGCCTACGTACCCTGTGATGGGGATCGAAGTCCACGTAGTTCGAGCTTAAAAGTTTGTTAATGAAAATATTTTTTTAAGAGAAATTAATTAGAAATAATTCACCATTTTGCAAATAAAACAATTTCTGAAATTTTGATATGTGTGTTTTAAATTGCAAGAAGTAATTTAATTTTAATTATTTTCTCAATTTTTGAATTTCAAATTAAAGAAAAGAAAAGGGTTTAAAATTATTATTATTATTTTTTATTTTATGATTGAGGATTTAATTGTAGTGCCTGCAAAACCTTATTGGTTCATCCGGCAATGCAATAGCAATAAATATCTGCGGAGATTCTGAAATCTCATACGATAAAAGAGTTTTGCCATTTAATTTATTTATTTATATTATTATGTATATTGTTAAGTGTTAATAATAATTTTAAGTGTGTGTATATATGTTTCAAAGAAACTTAATCATCATACCTGCAAAGCCTTATTAGCTTGTACGGTAATATGATTATCCCTAATATTTGTGGAGATTTCAAAATCTCACACGATAAAGGAATTAAATTTAATTAATTGATTTAATTAATTATATAATATATATGTATATATATGTTTTAAAAACTAAATTGTTATATCTGCAGAGTCTTATTGACTCATACGATAATACGATGATCTTAAAAGCCTACGGAGATTCAAAAATCTCACATGACTAAAAGATATAATTGGTAAATATGGTTACAATTTAAATACATTAATTTAGTTAATTAAGTTTCTTAAATTGTGTATTATATGATTATTTGTAAAAATCATTTGTTTATCATAGAAATTGATAATCACTACATCTGCGAGGACTTATTATCCCCACGATGATGTAATTAATTTAAATCTCTATAAAGATTCTTGAAATCTCATAAGAGACTTAAATAAATTATTAATCTGGGTTATAAAAAAAGAGTTAAATTTAATGATAGGCCCTTTGAACCCGTATTAACATATAAGTTTTACTCTCATATCTGTGAAACCTTATTGATTTACACGATAGAGGCTATCCTGAATATCTACAGAGATACAAGATCTCACATGATAAAAGGATTAAATAATATTCACTTTAAATATATTTTAATGCGTAATTATACAATGCATATTTTTAAACATAAAAATCTTAATCGTTATACCTGATGAGCCTTATTGACTCACACGGTAGTATGATTATCTTAAAGGTCTACGGAGTTTCAAAAATCTCACATGACCAAAAGATATAATGGGTAAATATAATTATAATTTAAATTCATTAATTTAGTTAATTAAAATTATAAAAATGTTTCTTTATTTTATTTACAAAATTCATTTATTTATTTACCATATAAATTGTGAACCACGATATCTGTGAGGATTTATTATCCTACACAATAATGTGATTAATTTAAGTCTCTACAAAGATTCTTGAAATCTCACATGAGACTTAAATATTTAGTATAAAGAGACTTAATTTTAATGGTGAGCCATTAGAACCCATCTTTAGTATACAAGTCGGATCTTCATACCAGTGAAATCTTATTGATTTACATAGTATGAGATCATTTTAAATGTCTGCGAAAATTCTTAAAATTTCACACGGTAAATAAATAACAAACAAGTATATATTCTCTTATTTTTATTGGATCTCAATTACAAAATGCAAAATTCATCAAAAAAATTGGAACTCTTTTCCAATAGTGACATAATAAGCATGCAAATAAATAAGAAAGTAAAAACAACCAGTAGTTTTGGCATTTAGAAGAATTAACTCATAACATACTGATTGCTAATATTTGAAGCAAAATATACTCAAAAATATGCAGAGTAAATTAACAACTAACAAGTTTTATAACTAAAGAGATCTAAGATAGAAATCTCACCGTTAATTCAGACCACAACCTTCGAAGATCAGGGTGAGAATCAATGCTCTTTGCTATGAGTATGAGGGTTGACTATGCTCATCATATCCACACCATAGTCTCCTAAGTTGTCACGCTCTCAGTTTTTGCTTCTCCCCTTCCAGATCTCTTTTACTCTGTTTGTTTCATTTTTATTTTCTCATCCAGCTTTATTCTTCTTTTTCTACTCGTCCTTGCTCACTCCAGGCTCTGCTCTCTTGTTCTCCTCGGTCTCTCTCTTCTCTGAGTTTTCTCATCTGGCCGAAGGTCCCATGACCGGCGTCCTTTGCTTTTTTTCTCCTCGTGCTCTCTTATTCTCGGTCTTTCTACTCTATTTTTTGTCTCTTTTTTCTCTTTTATCCATTTTTCTCTTCTCCTTTTCTCTCAGGCACTCTCTTTTCTCCATCTTTTATGCTCTATTTTCTGTTCTTTTTTTCTGTCTTGTTTTCTCTCTCCAGTTCCAGTTTTTCTCTCAATTTTTTTTGTCTGGTTCTCGTGCTTTTTTCGCTGAAACTCTCCTCCTCTTTGTCCAGGCTTCTTCTATGCTTTATTGCTCTCTCCTTCCTCAATTTTCTGCTCTCATTCTCGTGCTCTCTTGTTTCTATTTTTCTGCATTTTCCTTCCCTCCTCCTGTGCTTTGTTTTTTCTTTTGTTTTTCCATTCGTCCCCTCTCCTCTCACTTTTTCTCCAGCAAAACCGCTCCTTCCCCTTTATGCATGCTATGTTTCTGCTTTTTATTACTGAAGCTCGGGATCTTCCTCTTGCGTGAGTGTCTAGGTTCCCTCTGCTCTTACTGATTTACTCTTGTGTGTGTTTCCTTTCTCTTGTTCAGTCTTTTCTGCGTCTGATGTGTTCAGCTTTTCTTTCACTAGTGTTTTCTCTCTGCCTGCTGAAAGTCTATGTGTGTGCATCATGGTTGCTTGCTGCTTCTTTTGCTGTGTTTTTCTGCTCGCGTGTGGTTGCTGTTTCTGCATTTCGTGTCTCTATTTCTGCTGTTTTCTTTTTTTCTGCTGCATGGCTGAAAGTATCTATGTGCACGTGTGTTTCTCCACTTTTCTCTGCATGATTGAGCATTTTTCACGTCTGATCTTTCCTGAGTCTCCCTTTGGTGTTCTTATGCATTTCCTTTTTAGTTATGGCCGTGTCTGTGCGGTTGTCCTTTTTTTTTATGTTGAAAGTGAGTGTACGTGAACTGCATAAGGCTTGTGATAAGCCTTTTTTGCTTTTAATTTTTTAAAAATTAAATTAAAACACACACACACACATGTGTGTGTATGTATTTTGTTTTAAATGAAAAAAAGATTTAATGAGAGAAATTTAACACTTAAAAATTAACTTTCAATATTTTGAATGATTGATATAATTTGGGAGAGATTTTAAAAATTTAAGCAAGATTATTATATTTTTTTGAAAATATAATCCTAAAAAAAGACTAAAATTTATTTTTATATTTTGTTGTTTATTTTGATTTTTAAAAAAAATGGCCGGATAAAATATGGTGTTCACACCGCTTATTTCTTAATTTTCATCCATTGTAAAACATATTTTTTTAAAAAAAAGTGAGCCCTGTCTGCTAAAACCGTGTTTAATGTGATATTAATTTTAGTGGCACGTGTTTTTTGTGTTTTATGCAAGACATGAGAAATGAACCATATCCATGCTGTAACATCTCTAACTTATCAATGACACGTTCAAATTGGCGGTTAAAGAAAAGATAACACATTCAAATTAAAGATAAAAAAAATACATTTAAGTCCTATAAAAGAGAAATTATCATCAAAAAGTTTTTACCCCTAAGTCTCGAATCATGCATATTTATAACTTGGTTAAAGACATTTATAATTAGGCAACTAACATTTATAACTTGCTATTACAAGTTATCATTTTTCTTTACAAGTTGTCATGTTCAACAAAAAGATAGGGGAAACTATGTATATTTAATTTTAGAAAAATCATAATTTTGGATTCATATATTTTACTCGGGTTTTGCTATTAGTTCCTATAATTTTTGTTATATTTTAGATCCTTATACTTTTATTTTTTATTATTTTATATCCCTCTATGAATAAAGTGTAGAAACCTTATAGGGACATAA